CTACCTTACATATTGGCTAAAAGAAAGAACACCTTTTCTCCGAGGCTCAAATCAAGGTTCTAAGGATAATTTCGATAAAAAGGTCGGCTTGAAAGGCTCAAACGGTTCAAAGAAGGCCCAAATCATATCCCAAGTCACTCACTACTCAATACTTCGTATCATAAATTTCCTAAGGTGAGTTCTAAAACCGAACATAGCATGATCTAGCACAAATTAATTCCAAATTTAGAATACAAAACATTCAACAAAAGCAATGCACAAAATGTGATTCCTAGCAATAATTCGCTTCTAAGTCCCGTTGAATCGAAAGCTAAATAAACATCAAATCCTTATCACACAAAACAAACAATTTCATCATCAAACATTGATCATCTCTCATCATCATAAATCATTGATGCATTCGACTCAAGCAATTTTTTTTTTTTTTTTTTCAACACTAATAATAAAAAAAAAACGGGAAAAAAAACGATAACTAAAAAAATAAAGCATGCAACTAACAAAGAAAAAAAAGTAAAACATAAATAGGGCGCACATAAAAGAACACAAGTAGTTAACCACCCCCAAACTTAAAATTCACATTGCCCTCAATGTGATTCGCCCGGAGTTTAAGGATAGAAAACACCTGTTTAAGCGTTGGGACCATCGTTGGGTTGCGCTCCAACTCCACCTTGCGCAAGAGCATCACCATCATCTTCATCATCCGAAAGCTCGGGTACCGGCGCAAATCAACAACAAACCACCTTGATTACATATTATATGTGTGTAGTTGGTAAATTTGCGGTGAAATTTGTCAAAGAAAAGGGAAAATTTCGAAAAAGGAAGGCTAGGGTTCGAAGTGGGGGAGAGAGAGGATTTGAAATTATGGAAATTGTTTTTTTTTTTTTTTTTGTTTTTTTTTTCGCACGGCCGTGCGAAATTTAGGTGAAAAATCCGCACGGCCGTGCCCTTTCTCAAAATTGGGCAGTAGCCTCTTCAAGTTTCGCACGGCCGTGCGAGATTTAGGTGTAAAATCCGCACGGCCGTGCCCTTTTGCGTTTTTGGGCAGTAGCCCCTTGAATTTTCGGACGGCCGTGTGAAATTTAAGGGCAAAATCCGCACGGCCGTCCCATTTCCGGATTTTGTACAGTAGCCTCCCGAAATCTCACACGGCCGTGTGAGATTCCTCCCTTTTTCTTGCACGGCCGTGTGAATAATTGCATTTAGGTCCCTGCAAAATAAAAACTTCTTATTAGTGCCCCTGAAACTTTTTTTTTTTTTTTTTTTTTTTTTTTTTTTTTTGAAAAATAAAATAAAATAAAAGCAAAACTAAAAATTTAAAATAACATAAAAAAAAACGAAAGCTCGGGTTGCCTCCCGAGAAGCGCTAAGTTTAAAGTCTTCAGCCGGACGTTGCTTCTTTAATTTCAAGCAAAATTGACCGAAGTCACTTGGCAATCTTCACTCGCTTCCCAATACGATTTGAGCCGGCTCCGTTTTACGTTGAACGTACGATTTGAATCTCGCTCCTTTATTTTGACCACCTCGTGAGGAAGAATTTCTTGGACAATAAACGGCCGCGACCACTTTGATTTGCGCTTCCTTGGAAATAACCAAACACGGGATTTGCACAATAACACCAATTGTCCTTTGTGCAATTCCTTTTTGATTTTCTCCTTTCGACCACAATAGCTTGACTCATCCTTCTTTCGTGACTTGCTCGAGCCTTTGGTTGGCAACATCTTCCTTGCATTCTCATCGTCGTTAAGACCTCGACTTGCATGACTTTCTCTCGGAGGATTTAAAAGTGAGTCCATGAAATAAACTTGCTCCGTCCGATTTCCGTTTCTGCCATCATCTCCTGCACTCAAATATGCTTTCCCATTGTCCAAGTGCAAAACATCAAATTTTTCATGAGTTGTGAAATCCATAAGCTCAATAGCAAAACAATCATTATTATCACATGGATTTTTATTAGCGCTAAAAACATTGAATTTGATTGTTTGATCATGAACAGTCATTGTAAGATCACCACTAGCACAATCAATGAGAGTTTTCGACGTGGCTAAAAACGGTCTCCCTACGATAAGAGGTACCTCCCTATCCTCATCTATATCAAGTATGACGAAATCGACAGGGAAGATAAATTTATTGACTTTCACTAGCACATTCTCTAAAATACCTTTTGGGTAAACTAAAGATCTATCGGCTAATTGAAGAGTTATAGCCGTCGGTTCAATTTCTCCTAACCCAAGATTTTTAAAGGTTGAATAAGGCATAAGATTAATGCTAGCGCCTAAATCAATGAGTGATCTAAAATTTTTACCTCCTATAGTACAGGGAATAGTAAACTTACCTGGATCGCCGAGTTTTTGTGGAAGAGGCCGAGTAAGAATTGCACTAATTTGCTCCGTGAGTAGGATCATCTCGTTCCCTTGCAATTTCTTACTTTTCTTCACGAGGTCCTTGAGGAACTTCACCCACTTTGGCATCTTTTGAAGTGCTTCAATGAAAGGAATATTTATGCGAATTTCCTTCAACTTGTCCAAAAATCTTTGATATTCAACATCGAGCTTCTTCTTTACAAATTTTTGAGGATAAGGAATTGGAGGGACTTGTGAAGGCACCGTTGATGGTGGCTCTTCATGAGTTGATTCTTTTTCCTCATTCACTTTCGGCTTCTCGATTACCGTGTTTCTCTTCTCTTTTTGTGGGGCTTCCTCCAATTTCTTGCCATTCTTCAAGGTGACTGCTTGGCACGTCTCGACCTCGATCTTTTTCGTTAGCAATCTTTGTGGATATGGGATTGGCTCGAACCATTCGGCTACAGTGACTTGCGGCTTGATTTGAATTTCTTCCCTTTTTTCACTCTTGACATCGATAGCTTGGCACGTCTCGAACTTTTGATTTCGAGGATCTTCCGTATTCGATGGCAATGCTCCCGGCGGGCGGTTCTCTTGCTTCAAAGCTAATTGAGCGAGTTGATTCTCCAAATTTCGCAACGAGGCTTGGGTAGCGGTCATGAATTGGGCCAATATCTCATCCGTGTTTGATTTTTGGGCCGGTGGATTGTTGCCTTGATAGCTTTGTTGAGGAGGGGCTTGATTTTGGAATTGACCTTGAGGTCTTTGATATCCTTGGCCTTGTTGATTTCCTCCATATTGCCCTTGTGATCTCCACCCTTGATTTTGAAATTGGCGAGGCGCGTTGTTGACGTAGTTGAGCGACTCCGCATCTTGTTGGCATTGGAGCGTGTAGTGATTTCCACCGCAAATTTCACAACATGGAGACTCAACGGCTTGGACTTGTTGTGATGGACTTGCTTTGATATGCTGCAGAAGGAGTTGATTTTGTTGAGCAATTTGGGTCACTTGAGCTTGAAGAGCCGTAATTGCATCTAACTCCAACACTCCGGGAACTTTCTTGGATCCACTAACCGTCCTCTCGCTTGACTTGGCAAACCGATTTTGAGCAATTTGATCTAACATGATAAACGCATCCGGTATCGATTGACTCATAAAATTCCCCCCGGTTGATGCATCTAAAACGGTTTGTGCATTCTCGTTGATCCCTTGGTAGAAGATGTGGATTTGCCGCCATTGTTCGACTCCATGTGTTGGACACTGCCGCAAAAGAGTTTTAAATCTCTCCCATGCCTCGTATAATTGCTCGCCTTGCTCTTGGAAAAAATTATGAATTTCTCGTCGGATTCTCTCGTCCTTCTCGGGTGAGCTGTAAACTTTCATGAAAAGGTTGAGGAGTTGAGACCACGACGAGATAGAGTGGGGGGCTTGGGACATCAACCACTGGCGAGCTCTTCCTTGTAAGGAGTGCTTGAAGAGGATTAATTGTAGCGCCTCTTGGGAAACGCCGTTTTGACGGTGAGAATTACAGGTATCTAGAAAATTGACAATGTGAAGATGGGGGTCTTCACCCGCCAATCCACTAAACAGCCCGTTATTTTGGAGCATCGTCAAGAGGCCTTGCTTGATCTCAAAATTGTGCGCCTCAATAGGTGGATATTGGATGCTCGGGCGGAATCCGTCATGAGTCGGGATTATGTAATCTTGAAGTGCCCGTGGCCGAACTGCTGGCTGTGCTGGAAGTTGAGGGGGTGGGTCTTGGACTTGGTTTCCGTTGGCCCCGAGTAAATTACCCGCTGCTCTGCGTTCTTCGTCCTCCATTATATTGTTTGCGCATTGAAGTCTCCTAGCGGCTCGAAAAGTACGTTCGATTTCGGGATCAAACGGTTCTCTAGCAAGATCGAGTCTCCTGTGCATACAAAGTACCTAAAATAAAATAAAACGAAAATTAAATAGGTGAATCGTGAAAATTGTTCAAATATAGAGCTAGAATAAAATAAATAACTAAAATATTCCCCGGCAACGGCGCCAAAAACTTGTTGGTCGAAAACCTACACGCAAGTGCACGTATCGTACAAGTAATATAGTGGACTAAAAGTCCGGATATCGAACCCACAGGGAATATTTAATTATCTAATCCTAGACGCTAAATTCTACCAATTAATATCAAGCCCACCCTACACAGTCGACTATAGAGAGAATTAACTAAATTAAATTAAAAGGCAAATCAAAACGACAAAGCAAGAAAGCAAATTAAACACGAAGATGTATCAGAGTAAACGAGCCTAGGATTTTATTCTCCCCCCTATGTGATTATTACTCCCCCAATTCCTTCAATTATGCAAGCAATTAACCCGGATTATTAACCTGAGATGCTAAAATAATCATAACCCGCTTCCGCGTGTATTACGATTCTAATACTCTAGATTCAATTACTATATTCCTATGCAATTAATTCTAGAAAACAGCATTAAGCACAAATCTCAATAATGGCTACCTAAGAGATTAACTATATTCCTATGTTAATACCACAAAGGCTCTTCTACCACAGTTCTAATTATTAACCCGATCTTCCGATTCGTGCGATTAACAATAACATAAAGGGGTATTTGCACTCGGCTCCCCTGTGAAATGTCTAATTGTCAAAAAACCCCTTCTGATAAAAAAATTAGCAAATACCCCCCTATGAAAGGAAGTCAATGACAATAAGGACCCTACGAGCGAATCGTGGGATACACTCGCGGTTCATGCAGCTGGGCGTGCGTTTTAGGAAATTTTAGGACAGGAAAAGACATAAAAACCCTTCAGTCTCCTTGAATGACAAAACGACGCCCAATTCCCAGAATTTTTTCCAAATAAAATAATAAAGACAAAAATAAAAAAGAAAAGGGGCAAAAAAAAAGCTGTGGTTTCTTCCTTCGTTCCATAGCTCAAGATCTTTCAGTTTATTGCTCAATGAACACCGTTTAAAGCTCTAATCATCAGGTTAATAAAGAAGCCCCCTTTTTTTTTTGTATTTACTCTTGTTGATTTTGATATTAAAATTTCAGGCTTTTTGATCCGTTGGAGTAAATGATTTATCTAGATTTTCTGAATTTTTATTTTTTATTCTTTTATTTTTGTTGTTGTTGTTCTTGTACTTTTGACAGGGTTGTGATTAAGAGAATAAACAAGCGGGAGTGGAAGAAAGGGGGGAAATCTTTTGGAAGGTTTTTCCGATCATGGCGGTGGTGGAAAATGCGGGTGTGGACGCGGTGGCGCCGTCGAATCGGGATGGGCAGCACAACGACGCGGCGGCGGATCACCAGCAGTCGACCAAAGCCGCCGCCTCTAACGGCCAAAAGTCAACTAAGCCCGCCGATCAGAACCACCACCTGGCCCAGAAAGTATCCAACGGCCACCACCATCATCAGCTGGAAAACACAATTAACGGCGGCGGCGGCGACGACGGCCGTCATCACGTGGAGGAGGTGAAAGTTAACGGGGGCGGCGATGATGGAGGAGAGGGGTTCAAGAGGGAGATGAGGGATTTGGAGGAAATGCTCTCGAAATTGAACCCCATGGCGAAGGAATTCGTGCCGCCATCCATGGCGACCGTGGTCTTCGGCGGCGGCCTCCACCATGGGCTGATGGTGGCGGCGCCGCCACCACAAGTGGCAGCAGCTGCGGCGGGGCATTTTGGGGGAAAAGGTTAGGATACGTATTTTGGGTATTGAGGTCTTTTTTGCTTTATTTTTTATTAAGGGCAATTTTGTCATTTCATGTAAGTCAACGAGCCAGTGCACACAAAGGGGCGGTGGGCTGACTAAAACACAACATAGGGGGTTATATGCTAATTTTTTTTTCCGGAGGGGTTTTTTGCTTCCGAGAAATAACACAGGGGGGGTCTATGCAATTAACTCATAACATAAAAGCGCATAAAGTGGCCAGTTTCATGAACTTAATAAAACAAGTAGAAGAAATAATCCGGAATTAAAACTTGCATAAAATCATAGAATTGGGTTCATAAATCCCACATAGGGTTCCAAATAAAATCCTAGAAATAAGAAAATTAGCTACTCATGATTAAAGGAAAAACACAAATAAAATAAGTCATAAACGATAAATCTATGCTTAGAGTCTTCGAATTCTTTGTCTTCGTTATTGCTTTGTTGCTCTTGAAATTGCGTAAAAAGATCCTCAATTGTGTGCTTGGATTGGTCTTATATAGGGTGATGAACTTGGGGAAGAAGGCAGTTTCCTTGTGCAATTAAAATCCCTTTACTGCGCAACTTCGGGATCTCGGACGGCCGTCCGAGCTTTAAATCTCCAGATTTTGGTTTTTTTTCACTTTTGGCCCATATTTTCTCCAAATTTGCAGTTTTGACCCCATATTTTTCCAATTCTTCAATTTGTACCTAAAATACAATAAATCAACTTTTTAAGCACCAATTATCATTAAAACACACCAAAAGCTCAAATAAAAAGGTACGATAAAGTGTAAAAATATACACTTAACAAGCATCACCATCCTCCTCATTCTCCAATAGCTCTGGTACCGGCTCTAGAATCGGTGCGGGCAACGGTTCCGGTTCGGCGCACTCGGGAGTACCGCACGCCAAATGGTGCACAATAGCTTGGAGCATCTTCCTCGACCACCGTTGAAGGGATTCGATTGTGCTAACTTTGTGCTCCACCGTGGCTAGCCGATTTCTAGTAATGACCAACTCTCGCTCCATTCTCCTTTGAAAACGGCGGTCCGAACTTGTGCTAGGACCCTCGGGTGGAGCTAATTGTTGGCCATCGACGGGTTGCTTTCCACCATAGATGGGTGCCTTGAATTGAAGGGCCGCAAGATTACTAATCGGCTTCCGAATTTGTGTGTCAATGTCCGTCATCTTGGTTGGAACCTTCGCCTTCTTGCATAAGCCGGTAACGAGGCAAGGGAAATAGAACCCTTTGGAGTTGTTGATCATGGAGATCCAAAAACGATCGGATATGATTTCGCCAACATTAATCGGTGTGCCCCTTAAAATGTAATATGCAAGAGCACACCGTTCAGGGTCCACGTGAGTCCACGAGCGGGTGGGGATGAGGTTGGCACATATGAAAGTGAGGCACGCCTTGCCTATTTGGTGGACGCATTTCCACTCCAACTCGTATTCCTCCTCGGTGGATAATTCGGACCAAATTGGGGGCCCATCGCACAACACTTCGCCGAGTTGATCTCTCTTGTTACCGCGAGTTGCATTTTTTCCCAATTGAATTGCTCATGTCGGATGTTATAGAAGGAGTTGATGGCCTTGGCACTCCAATCGACCCGCTTCCCTCGAACCGTGCTCGTCTTTCTATCCGAAGTTAGGAGAATACGGGTGTTGGCGTAGAACTCGCGGACCAAAGATAAGTTTATCGACTCCGCCGGTTCCAACAATGATTGCCACCCTCGTCGTATGAATTCTTGATGTAACGGTTGAAATTGCGGTAGGGTGACCTCATATGCGCGCTCCGTCACAAGTTTCTTCACTTTTTGTTTTTCAAAACGAACCTTGGAGCCTTCGACACAAAAAGCATCGTCATCGGGGGTTGGAATTTGATCGGCTTTCTTGCCCTTCCCCTTGCCTTTTGAAGTGCCTTCGCCTTGTGAGGTGCCCTCTCCGTCATGTCCTCTTTTCCCCATGATGTGAGTGCCTTAGTGAACGGATTTGAAGTGATTGGTATGCAAAATTTCCCCCAAACTTGACTCGGGCAAATCGTCGAACACCTTGTGGGCGTTCATTGTTGAATGGGTTTTTTACAGAAATTGACACCTTTCTTGAATCCTCCCTGCACAAATCACCAACAAGAAACAATTTTTGAGTGTTATGTGTGTGTAGTTGGTGAAGTTTAGGCGAATTTGTTCAAAGAAAATCGAAAATTTTGAAATGAGGGGGTTAGGGTTCGAATTAGGAGAGAGAGAGGAATTGGAATTGTGAGAATTGTGGGTTGGAAAACCCCTCTTTAATATGCCCGTTTTTTGTTTCGCACGGCCGTGTGAGTATTTGCACTATATTTCTGGACGGCCGTGCGAATATGGAATTCTGGGCAGTAGCCTACTGTTTCTCGGACGGCCGTGCGAGAATTCAGTGTAAATTCCGCACGGCCGCGCCCCTTCTCAATTTTGGGCAGTAGCCTCTCCAGTTCTCGGACGGCCGTGCGAGAATTCAGTGTAAATTCCGCACGGCCGCGCCCCTCGCCAAATCGATACAGTAGCCTCTCTTGAATCTCACACGGCCGTGGGAGAATTATGCCTGTTTTCTGGCACGGCCGTGTGAATACTTTGCAAAAATTGCATTTTGACCCCTGAAAAATAAAGATTTCTTAATTCGTTAGTATGCATGCTTTTCAATAAAATAAAATAAAAAAATAAAATAAAAAAAACTAATACTAACTAAAATAAAATAAAAGAAAGAAAAACGAAATCTCGGGTTGCCTCCCGAGAAGCGCTAAGTTTACAATCTTCAGCCGGACTTTGTCTGCTTCTTTGTTCAAGCTAACGTGACCGAAGTCACTTGGCGATTGAATTACCCTCCCCGATAATGCTCGTTTGGTTCTTTAGGTGGCCACATCCTCCTTGCACGTTCATCACCGTTAGCACCCCAACTCTTTTGGCTATCTCTCGGAGGAGTTGAAATTGAGTCCGCACAATAAACTTTCTCCTTCCGATTCCCTTTTCCGCCATCATCTCCTGCACTTAACTATGCTTTCCCATGGTCCAAGATCGAAACATCAAATTTTTCATAATTTGTAAAATCCATAAGATCAATAGTAAAGCACTCATTATTATCACAAGGATTTTTACTAAAAACATTAAATTTTATCTTTTGATCATGCACCGTCATTGTAAGATCACCACTAGCACAATCAATTAGAGTTTTCGAAGTGGCTAAAAACGGTCTCCCTAAAATAAGAGGTATCTCCCTATCTTCATCTATATCAAGTATAACAAAATCAACCGGGAAGATAAATTTGTTCACTTTTACTAGCACATTCTCTAAAATACCTTTTGGGTAAACTAAAGACCTATCGGCTAATTGGAGAGTTATAGCCGTCGGTTCAATCTCACCTAACCCAAGATTTTGATAAGTGGAATAAGGCATAAGATTAATGCTAGCACCTAAATCAATGAGTGATCTAAAATTTTTACCTCCTATAGTACAAGGAATAGTGAACTTACCTGGGTCGCCGAGTTTTTGCGGAAGGGGTCGTGTAAAAATTTCACTGCATTGCTCCGTGAGTTGGATCATTTCGTTCCCTTGCAATTTCTTCCTCTTTGTCACGAGATCCTTGAGGAATTTCACCCACTTTGGCATCTTTTGAAGGGCTTCGATAAACGGGATGTTTATGTGGATTTCCTTCAACTTGTCCAAAAATCCTTGGTATTCGGCATCGAGCTTCTTCTTTATAAGCTTCTGAGGATATGGAATTGGAGGGGCTCGTGATTTCACTGTGGATGACAGTGGTTCTTCGTGAGTTGCTTATTTTTCCCCAATCACGCTCGGCTTCTCGATTACCGTGTTTTGCTTCTCTTTTCGTGGGGCTTCCTCCAATTGTCTCCCATTCCTTAAACTTACGGCATTGCATTGCTCGATGTTGCTCTTTCGAGGATCTTCCGTATTCGACGGCAGTGCTCCCGATGGCCTCGCGGTTAGCTGGGTTGCAAGTTGTCCCATCTGTGTTTCCAAATTTTGGATGGAGGCTTGAGTGGTTGTCATAAATTGCGCAAAGATATTTGCGAGATCTCCACTTTGAGGTTGAGCTTGAGGCGGATTTTGGAATCCGGGAGCAGGTCGTGAATAACTGGGAGGTTGACCTTGAGGTGGTGCTTGCCTTTGTCCTTGCTGATTTCCTCCCCACCCAAAGTTAGGGTGATCTTTCCATCCCGGATTATACGTGTTGGAGTACGGGTTCCTCTGTTGTCGGTTGGTGTCATGCACATAATTTAGAGACTCCGTTTCTTCTACGCTTTGGTCGGGAGCTTGGACTGCATGGACTTGCTGAGTCTGCAAAGCCGCCACTTGCTTTGATAGCTTCTCTAACTGGGCCGTGATTGCAGTGACCCTGTCTAACTCCAAAATTCCTCCCGTTTTAGCGGCTCCGCTGTTTGACCGATCCGATGCCCGCATGTATTTATTTCTAGCGATTCGCTCCAAGAGTTCGTATGCTTCGTCGTAGGTCAAACTCATGAACATTCTCACAGCTGCAGAGTCGAGCACGGTCCTCGAGTTGTCTTGCAATCCATCGTAAAATATTTGCAGTTGGCGCCATTCTTGAAGTCCGTGATTCGGGCACCTCCTTATTAACTGCTTGAACCGCTCCCATGTCTCGAATAATGCTTCACCGGCTTCTTGTATGAAGTTTTGAATTTCTCTCTGGATTCTCTCAGTTTTTGTTGGGGAGTTGTATGTGTTCATGAAAAGTTGTGCTAGCTGGGACCAAGACGAGATGGAGTACGGTGCGCGAGTTTGTAACCATTCTCGGGCTGCTCCTTGTAAGGAGTGCTTGAACAGGCGGAGTTGCAGTGCTTCGGGTGTTACTCCGTTCATCTTGTGCGAATCACACGTTTCGAGAAAGTTTACCAAGTGGAGATGTGGATCTTCATGAGCCAATCCGCTGAATAACCCATTGTTTTGGAGCATAGTGAGGAGTCCCGCTCGAATTTCGAAATTGTTGGCTTCAATGGGGGGCTGCTGGATGCTTGATTGAAACCCATTGAGTGTTGGAACGGTGTACTCATGCAATGCTCGTTGACGAGGTGGTGGATTAATTAGCTGGCGTTGCTCTTGCTCGTTGACGACTTCTCCCGCCGCATTCGGTGGGCGCCCTTGGTTATTTCCCCC